TGGGAATTGAACTCAGGACCTTTGGAAGAGCAGGCAATGCTCTTAACCTCTGAGCCATCTCTCCAGCCCCAATAAATAATTTTTAAAAAATAACAAGGTAGAGAGCGATTGAGAAGGACACTCAACATCAGCCTTGGTCTCCAGGAATAACAATGCATGCGCACACAAGCAAAATGCACTCACAGCTCATAACAGATTTATCAGATGAGATCATCCATTGATAAATCATAATGTATCTGCATATTTCTACCACAGGATTTTCCATCGCCGCTGTTTGGAGGTTTTTCTTTCTGTCTTTATGGCTATGTAGATGGGCGCACACTCTAGGATTATTTTTCAGTTTGCATATTTTACATAAGGTATTTTTTTTTATAATTTTTGATTTTCAAGACAGGTTTTCTCTGTGAAATAGTCCTGGATGTCCTGGAACTCACTCTGTAAACCAGGCTGGCCTCACACTCACAAAGATCTATCTGCCTCTGCCTCCTGAGTGCTGGGATTAAAGGCATTCACCTCTGCAGCCTGGCAAAACAAATCTTAAAAAATGAGTTTTAAGAATTTATGTTCTTAAAGGCCAGGCAGGGCAGGTAGATCTCTGTGAGTTCAACTAACCTGGTCTATAGAGCAAGTTCCAAGACAGCCAGAGCTACATAGAGAAACCCTGTCTCAAAAAAAAAAAAAATAAAACTTTTATTTTTAACATGTGAACTGTGTGTATATCTGTGTGGGTGTATGTCATGTGTGTGTGGATGCCTACAGAAACCAGAGGTGTCAGATCCCCTGGAGCTGGAGTTACAGGCTGTTGTGGTTGCCGGGAATCCAATTTAGGACCTCTGGAAGAGCGATACACTTTCTTAACTGATTAGCCATCTCTCTAGCCCTTTTCAACATGATCCACATACGGCAACTATTGCTTCAAATTTGCATCATATACTCAAGATAACTTCCTAGCACAGGCCCGCAGGCAGCTCCGGCAGGGAGGCAGGAGGCAGGAGGCAGGAGGCAGGAGGCAGGAGGCAGGAGGCTGGCTGCTGGCCGCTGTGAACATGGGAAGAGTTCCCTCAGATAGAAGTGACAAGTGTTTACTACAGCATCTTCTCACATTTCTCTGCTGAGATTTCCTCTTGCGATTTTGTAGTTCTTTGTAGTCTGGATATTAATTGCTCGTTATAAATGCTGCAACTAGTTCATCCAAATCTGTTGCTTGCTTCTAATTTTAGCCATGAGATTTGCCAATCTTTTCTGTAGAGGAAAAATATTATTTTCCTGCCTTGTGTATGAAAAAAGAACACATACATGCTTCATCATTTATAAAGACATGTGTAGATACATTATGTATATATATATGTGTGTGTGTGCATATGTATATGTGCATACATGTATGTGCATGTATATAAGTCATTTCTTGTATTTTGGCATTACTTACAGGCAAACATCTTGCCAGTCTTATTAATAATTCCAAGTCTGTAAGGTGTCTGTGATTGTCCCCACTCGCTCCTTGGTTGTTGATCACACTATTATTAACGCTTTGCCCTCATGTGTTTGTGACCCCGAGTTGCGTATTTGCCACGCTTATTTGGTCTTCGACTTTTCTTGTGATGAACACGACAGGCCAGTGTACTTCGTTCCCAGTCCCTGTCACACTCAGTGCTGGGGGCTGCAGTTCTCTAGAGAGCCTGCCAGATCAATCCTGTTTCCCAGCTGAGACTTAAGGACGGAATAACGTCCTCAAGCAGGCACACCTGCACATAGCAAAGCCAGGCTGCTAACAGGCAGGGCAGGCCAAGGCCTTCCCCAAGCTAGCCAGCCCCAGTGACCAGACAGATCGTGGGCGGATAAGCATATTTCTCTCCTTTTTACTTTAAAAAGAAAGTGGACAACAGTAAGCTGCACACTGCCCAGTGTCCCAGGTCCCCATGACCCCACCCCACCAGGTCATGCCACACCCCTCCAACACCGTTCTTTACCCTTCCCTGAAACCCTAGATGAGAATCCCTAAGGCTGTGGAGACCCCCAGCTAGGCTCTCCCAATCCCAGACTTCGGCAGCTTGAGGCACTGGAGAAATAAGTTAAGGGGAGGGAGCTCCTAGCCGGTCTTATTCAGCTTTGTCTCACAGGCCCAACGGTAGGGCCTCCTGCAGACGTCATCATTCCAGCGGCCATCATTGGTGAGGTGGGCACAGTCCTCACCTCCTCCAAGCCCATGCCCGTACCAGTCATCCGGCTGCCCTGGTCTCCAGTTCCTACAGACAAAAGACAAATCAGACTCTCAGCCATGTTCCGAGAAGAGCTCCAGCCTTAGAGACACAGGCTGGGAAGGCAGGGTGCCCCCACCCAGACGGCAGACACTCACTTGAAGTTCGTCTCATAGTCGGTCCCATCCACCCATCGCCAGGGCCCGCTCTGGTCGGTTAGGCCAATCCAAGTGTTTACAGGGCCCATGTGGTGCTGGACAAATTTCTGAGGAAAGAAACAGAGC